AAAGAAGCAAAACATATTAAATAGTAGAAATCAGCAAGAGTAGAAGCGTTAAGTAAAAATCATCCGTAACCCCATAGTTTGTGGTAAACAAGGTTATTTCTCTCTTTTATCTTCCTCCTTCCCTTTCTTTCTTTCTTCCTCTCTTTTTTAGCTTATTTTTTGTCATTAAAAGATAACACACAAGTAGCCAGGCATGGTGGTGCACACCTTTAATCCCAGCACTTGGGAGGCAGAGGCAGGTGGATCTCTGAGATCGAGGCCAGCCTGGTCTTCACAGTGAGTTCCAGGCCAGCTGAGGCTACAGGGAGACCCTGTCTCAAAAAGACAAAAAATTAAAAATAAAAATAAAAGATAATGCACAACTTGTCGAGATGGCTCACTGAATAAAGGGACTGGCTGCCAGGCTCAATGACCTGAGTTTGATCCCTGGGACCCACATGGTGGAAAGAGAGAAAGAGAGAACCTATTCCTAAAAGTTGTCCTCTAATCTCCACAAGCACAAGCCCACACATACATGCAGGTGCATGTGCGCGTGCGCACACACGCACACGCGCACACACACACACACACACAAATTAATAAAAAAATTGAAATAAGGGGGCTAGAAAAATTGCTCAGAGGTTAAGAGCATGGCTGCTCTTGCAGAGGACCTCGGTTTGGATCCCAGTACCCATATGGCAGCTAACAATGGTCCGTAACTCCAGTTCCAGGGGATTCAACACCCTCTCTGATCTCTGTGGGCATTGCATGCACATGGTGCTCTTACATACATGCAGGCAAAACACCCATACACATAAGATAAAATTAAAAAATCAAAAGAAATGTTTGAAAGAAGATAGCACATAAGTATAAGAAAAAACTGGGAAATCTAAAGTAATATGATCTACATATCTGGATTTTCACTAACTTTGTAATTATTCTTTTGCTTTTGGTTTTGAGACAGACTCTCACAATGTAATGTGACCAGCCTCAGACTTACAGAGATCTGCCTGCCTCGTGAGTGCTGGAATGTCAAGCACACATCACCACACTCAGCCCACTCTGTAGTAAAATTTAAAGACTGTGAGTCTTGGGGCTGGAGAGAAGGTTCAGAGCACTTGCTGCTCTTGCAGAGGACCTGAGTTGATTCCCAGCACCCACCTGGCGGCTCACAACTGTCTGTAACTTCAGCTCTAATCTGCCACCCTCTTCTGGCCTCTACAGGCACCCCTCTACACAAATACACACACACATTAAATAAAAAATCTTTTTTTTAAGGTGTGAGTTCCTTCTAACAACATTCTTTCCCAAAATTGTTTACCTATCCCAGTGTCTTTGCCTTTCTCTATAAATCTTCTACATGCATGTTGCTTCAGAAAATCTCGCTAATATTTTTTTAAATTTTATTTATTTTTACTTTATGTGAATGTGTGTATTGCCTGCATATAGGTAAGTGCACCCGTGTCATGCAATGCCCGTGGACATCAGAAGAGACTGTCAGATCCCCTGGGACTGGAGTTATGGACAGTTGTTAGCTGCCATGTGGGTGCATGGAGGTCAGAAGAGGCCAATGGATCCCCTGGGACTAGAGTTACAAACAGTTGTTAGCTGCCATGTGGGTGCTGGGATTTGAACCTGGGTCTTCTGCAAGAACAACCTGTGTTCTTAACCACTGAGCCATCTCTCCAGCCCCCCGCTAATATTTTTGTTGGAATTAATTAATCTACAAATGAGTTTGAGGAAAACTCACATTTTAATTATAACATCTTCCAAGCCATGAACATAGTCTCTATTTATGTAGTTCATATTTCATCAGCATTTTATAATATTTATCATGCAGACTCATGTTTTGTTAGAGGTATACTTTACTATTTCTTTTGAAGATATTTTAAATGATGATATGTTTGAAAATTTGAGTTCCAATTGTTCCAATGCTAGTATATGAAAACATGGCTAAGGTAGCTGAAGTCACTCACTAGTTCTAAGGGATTTTAAAAGTTTTCTTATATTTATTTGTGTATGTGGATATAGGGTGTGCAAATGTGGAGGTTGGAGGACAGCTTTCAGGAGTCAGTTTTCTCCTCCCACTATGTGGGTTTGGGGGATAGCATTCAGATTGTCAGACAAGCATCTTTACCTTCTGAAGCCCTAAGTGACTTTTTTTGTAGATACATTTTGTTTGTTCTAGGATCTTCTATATCTGCAATTACTAGTATGATTTCAATGATTTTAAATAGGTATCATTGTCTGCAGATGCGGCCCCATTAACTCCAGTTTTCTTTCTTACTTTCCCCTTATACTGGCAAGGATTTCCGGTGTCAAATTGAATAGCAATTGTGACAGCAGATGGACATTCTTGGTTTTCCCACCTGTGGTGTTCCTGACAGATTCTCTTTATCAGATCAAATTTCTTCTATGCTCCTAATTTTCTGTGAGCTTTTATCATTCATGGCTATTAAAACGGCCAAATTCTTTTACTGTATCAATTGATATGACCTTTTTTTTCCTTTTTTAGTCTTTTCTATAGTCAATTACATTGATTTTCAAATATTAGACTAGTACTTCATACCTAGGATAAATCCATCAAGTATTGTGTATTGTTTTCTATATATGGTTTGACTTGATTTGCTAAGACTTGGTTGAGGATTTTTCCATATGTTTGTAAGAGATATTGTTTCGTTTTCTTTTTATATACTAGCTTTGTCTGACTTAAGTATCAGGATAACAATAGATTATTGAAGGAGTTGGGGAATGTTCCCTCCTTGCCTGCTTTCTGAGGTCATACATGATTTAGATAAATGCTGTTTGGGCTGGAGAGACGGCTCAGTGGTTAAGAGCACTTGCTGTTCTTCAGAGGACCAGAGTTCCATTCCCAGGACCCAAGTCAGGAGACAACCATCTGTAACTTAATTCCAGGAGAATTGACACCCTCTTCTGGCCTATGTGGGTAAATGTACATGCCCACACACAGACATACATAAGATACATATAATTAAAATTTTTAAATAAACTCAGTGTGGTTGCACATACCTTTAATCCCAGCACTTGGGAGACAGAGGCAGGTGGATCTCTGTGAGTTCAAGGCCAGCCTGGTCTACATAACAAGTTCCAGGCCAGCTGGGGCTACAGGGAAACCCTATCTCAAAAAGACAAAATAAAAAATAATAAAAATAAAATAAAATAAGTCATTTGAAAAAAAAC